TCGTAACCCGATCCAGCGTTCGCGAACAGAGGCAAAATTTTGTGAACGGAGCTGTTCGTGAACCGAATTGTTCGTGAACAGAAGCGTTCATGAACCGAGGTACCACTGTATAACATGCTCATGGTATATCACTCCTATTAACTCATTGGCTACTGCATTTTGCACCAACTACAGTTTCCAGGTGGTCTTTAATGGGAGCTCCATGTATGAATATTGCAGTAGTCTGGCCGGATGGTGATGAGAGCATGAGTCATTGTGACAAGTCCAGGTAAGGTCACAACTGACAGAACAGCTAGAGGAGTTAGGACCCCCTCTGTCAAGGGCAGTGCCATCCTCAGGAAAGAGAACTTGAAGCTGACAGAGAACCTTGATGGACAAACAATTATAGTTTGCTTGGGTTTAGTTTTAGCCTGTTTCTTCCTATCCAGACTTAACAGACTCCAGACACTGGGAGGGCCACCTAAATAGCCAGAGTGGCCAGGGTGGCAAAATATGTGGATGATCATCAGCATATTGATGAGACCATACCTTAACCAATGGTCTCTCCCAGTGATTTCATAAAGATGTTAAAAAGTGGGGAACACAGAGCCTTATGACACTCTGCGTATACAAGTCCCCTGAACTGATCTCTCCTCCCCAGTAAGGAGTGGAAACACTGAAGCACAGTGCTCCAAACCCTGAATGGCACTCTAGAAGATACCATGGTTGATACTATCAAAGGTAGCTGAGAATAGGGCCAGAGGTATACACTCCATCTCAATCTTGACAAAGGTTTCTGTCTGAAAAGCGCCCAGATGATCCACTTCCTCTGAGGTACTCTGTTATTCTCTTCCTAACACAGTCTCAACAAGAAAGGTTGGAGAGAGGATATTTGTCCAATACAGCTGGATCCAGGGGTGGGGGAAGTTGAGATGGAGCACTACAGCCTCCTTCAAGGTTGCAGGAATCACCCTTTTCACGGTAAAACACTAATTCTTTTTTAACAAATTATTACATTAACTTAACCAAAAAATACACAGGAATAAAGAAGCAAAAAGCAAAGAATAAAACATAATACTAACACTGTGAAGAGAAACATTCTTCCCTTCCATTTCCCCCCAACTGCTAACCACTACTTAAATATTTGTGCTGTGTTCTGAACATTGGAGATTGTTGCTTGTAACTGTTTAAAGTTTCATACGTTGTTTTTAATTAGTCTCTTAACTTTTTTCCTAAAAGCCATATTCCAGATGTCTAAATCTGCCTTGCTGTGTAATGTATCATATATAAGGGAGCCATTCCTGCTTAAATTGAGTTAAATTTCTAATATGAACATATATTATCAGTTTTGCCATTGCTGCATATTCTTCAGTTTTGGTCTCCCATTTTTATATTGTTGGCAAATTTTTTCCCAAGGTTATGCCAAATTGTTCTTGCCGCTGGCAACTATGTCTTAGTAAATCGTGCTACTTTTCATTTTTTCTGGAATTAAGACTATTTGTAGTTTTAGTTCAAATTTTATTTATCAAATTTTCTGAGGGTTTTAATGTATTTTCTTCCAATACTTTTGAGGGTTTTTTGCATGACCACCACATCTGATAAAATATTCCTTCTTTCTTAGAGCATTTCCAACATTTATTATTATATGATTTGTCCATCTTGGTAATCACTGGCAGATTTATACTCCATCTGTAAAACATTTCATATTAATTTTCCCAAATTATACCTTAGAGTAAATTTTATTGATTTTTTCATAGCCCCATTATTCTTCTCATTCATTTCTTTGAAGTTTTGCACCCACTTGATCATGCAATTTTTAATTTGTTCCATCTCCATCCCATATTTCAGAATTAATTTTTGATGTGCCCCAGTAGATTTTCTTGATTCTGTATAAGCATTTCAAATTCAGTCTTTTTTCTCAAAGTCCCTCTTTCTTTCTTGAGGTCACTTTTTATTTTTCCAGCAATTTGTAAATACTCTAACTATGGTAAATTCCTACCTTCATTGATTAATTCTTGATCACTTGCTTGATTCAACTGATCATTCCCCCACCCTCCAGTTGTACATAATCATGGCAAAAATATGCATCGATGTTGCTGCTGCTGCTGCTGCTGCTGCTGCTGCTGCTGTGTCTCACATGCTTTCATCTTGTCTCCACCACATGAGTAAGACAGCTTTAAAGCTGTTTGTTATGGACCTTTGTGCATTTCAGAAAAAGCTATCCACTCAGGACCCAGGCAGCCCATCTTTTAAGGTGGAAATGGTGCTGCATGAGGCTGAGCGAAGATGGAGAGAGGACATGGCCACATCAGCCTGAACTTCGGATCCCACCCACTTCTGGTCCCTGATTTTACAGCAAAGTAACGTGTTACAGCAAAGTAACACACCATAGGTTTTAAACACATTAAGATTATCCTTGTGTAGTGTTGGAATACTTTTAACACTGGTACAGGGCTCTCACTCATAAAGCTGGGGGCAAGATGAAGGTAACATCCTGGGAATATGGCTGAAAGAAGTTCAAACAGATTGGCAATCTTTGAAGTATGATTACGTGCATGTGAAGACAGATCTTACAGATCTTGCAACGCCGGGATGTGGGAAAAGAGATGGGGCTTTATGCCAATCAGCTGCATTAATTATTACTCCCATCCCCACCCAACTATCCTTTGGGGAAGCTAATGGAAGTGCGAGCCGTTTAAGCACACACAGTTAGGATCCTGACTGATGAATAGCTTGTACTGTTGCACCGGGGCAGCAACAGGTTTCCACTATTTGCTTTTCTCACCTACTGCCATAGGTTACTTTCCCTCTTTATTTCGGGGACAGAGCTACAAATGAGGTTCCGCATACCAGGAGATTGCTTTTGCAAATCACTGAAGGATAACTGGGCTATTCAAAAAAATACTACAGTCCTATGCACAAGTCTCTCGGAAGAGCTCCCGAAGAATCCAAGGATACTTTCTTCCGGAATCCACAGGGTTGGGATCGTATCGTGAAGGTGGTGTTTGAAAGGGCGGCGCCAGGCGCGATCCATCACGAGGATAAACAAAGGATCCTCCTCACGCCGAGCAACGTGCCACAAGGCCGCGCATGGCGATGCTCGGGCGCTCTTCGCGGCTGGGAAGCAGCAGCAGCCATCTCAAAACAAAGGACTTCCTTCTATGAGGGCGGTTGCAGAATCCGAGCATCCGACGCCAAGTCAGCCTCCAAGCTGGCGCCGCGGCCCGTCGATCTGCACGCGCGGCTTGCCTCGTTTCGGTGGAGCGCGCGCCCTGGCACTCGCTCCTGCAACATTCACACACGCGCGCACCGTCACACTCGCGCGGATTTCTCCGGACGGAAGCACAGGGCGATCCCGCTTCCCCGCCACGCGAGCAAGCTAGCGAGCTGCAGGCGGCGCGGAGACGCTCTCAGCTCCGGAGCGTGGCGAGCGGGAAGCCTTCTGCAGACTGGCCGGCTTAATCCTGCGACCCGCGGCTAAACCAGGGATGTTTCCCGCAGGGGCCCGCGACTCGGCGGCGGCGCTGCGTTGCAATGGGCGGGCAGGCGCATCCCTTGCAGCACTGGATTGAAGGCGGAAATGGGGAGCTTTTGCGCTCTCGAGCAGGGGGCGGCCGCACGTTAGCCTGAAATTGGCTCCGATCGTTCCAGCTGGACGGGAGATCCGCCTTCTCGAGGTGGACGGGATGCCTGACTGACAGCCTGGCCCAAGGTGAGGTAAACGGCTCGAAGCCTTCCTTCGGGCAAGCGAATACCCTCACTCCGTGTAACTTCTCCTACGGCGATCGGGCGTGCGAAGGGCGAGTAACGACCCCCGTTCGGTTGCAAGAGATGCACTGCAATCCCGTACCTCGCTTTGCAGATTTTTGAATAGCCTGGGGTTTTACGCTAGCTTCCCGCAGGGCCCCAGAACGATCCTGTGGCAAAGCGGGCGGCGAGGTCCGCAGTGATCCAAGCGCAGGAATGAACTTCCTATTCAGCTCGCTCTTCCCCATCTCCCTTTTAATTCGCATTGATTATGTGCTTTTGCTTGAAGGATCTCACTTACTGTGTGTGGTGAAAGGGGGAAATGAAAGGCTAGCGCTTTGCGTGAACTGGGTCCCCCGAAGGAACGGTTTCATTGCCGCATCCCTCGTAATGAATGCAACAGTTCCTCGTAGCAGCCTAGAACTCGGGGAAGAGGGCGCGAGCCAGCCAGGGACGACCGGCGGCGTGTCTTATAATGGAGATTTGGAGCCGGGTCCCTCTGATCCCTGCTTCCCCACCCCCCTTCCATTAATCCATTTCACTGCCTGTGTAGTAGGACCACAGCTGCACTGAGCATGCTCTCATCCACACTGGGCATTCATTCTCTCTCCTTTTCTCGCTTTCTTGCCAAACCCTTAAACTGGACAGAGAACTTTAATTTTATTGTCGTGGGTTGGTTGCATTTTTATTTTCCATTGGATTTTGCTTTGTGATCTGTGCCTTCTGGCATGATTATTCTAAGTTGCCTCTCCCACTGTGGAAATGGCACATAATACAGATGTCTCTTAATGTTTTTAATAACAATTGGTTTGACCCCCCCACCTTCCCCCGAAAACCACCAAGCCTTGGACAACCACCACTGCTTGCATCATGGTGGTTAGCAATCATTAAGAAATGCAGATTACTGGATGAAAACAGCAGGCATTTCTGGAAATGGTTTACAATCTCCATCTCTGCTTTCCCATTTTAATTCTGTAGGTTACTTCCATGCAGAAAAATTCAGGGTAACGTTGAATTTAGGAGAACTAAGGATACGGTTGGAAGGAAGGTTGGTTTGGTGGAGGCTCACTGATTCAAGACCTGGATGCAGCTACCCTTCAAATTAAGACCTATTCCTGCTTCTCATACAGCAATTACAATCCACAAACACAGATGAAACCCAAATGGTTCATTCCAAAGTGTAACAAACAACAGTAAACATGCCTAATTTCTAAATTTTAGGATAACCTGGCAGTCCCACTCTCAATCTCCTGAAAGAAGGGACAGACGAATTGATAATGTACCAAAAATGTTACCATCTGGCCAAACTGAAGAATTTCTAACTATATAATCATACTCATACCTACTCAGAAGTAATGACAATTATATTTAGGGGATTTTTTCCCCAGGAATAAAATTCTAAGCTTCCAGTGAGTGTATAAATCTCTGCAAATGGCTGGCTGAAGTCGTTGAGCTCAGCATTTACCAACGGCTGGCTAAATGTTTGGGGGCTACATCTCCTAGAATTTTAAAGAGGAATTCTGGGATTCATCATTGCAGTACATCTGGACTAAGGACACAAGATTCAGAAAGGCTGGTTAAATTGATGTTCACTAGTGTACGTGTGCTGTAATGCAAAGGCATTGGGGTATCTCTGAACCAATGGACAATTCTAAAACATGCGTAAGATATGCTTGGGAACTGCTGGTACCATCTCTATTTGATCTCTGAAGTATCCTCCTTTAGAATTTCACTTTGGGATTATTTTCTTGAGAAAACATGTATAGTGCTACGAGTTTGTTACGTACTTGCTGTTTCACATAGCAGAATATAGCTTTTTTCTCCTGAAGGGATCTCATTTGAAGGAGAAATCCAGAAATTTCTCTAGGATGGGAAGATTCCCTTTCAAGATAACTTTGCTTCCTTTTTCTACTAAGATCAGGAATAACTCTAATCTTTTTGATAGCAAACATACTTCTTTGTAGTTGAAAATACTTCCCCCCCCCAACTCTCTCTCTGGCTTCACATTAACCTTTCGTTTAAACTAGCTGCGTGCTGTCTCATGGCAAGCGGAACTATCTGGAGATATATAGATGTAGGAAATGTTGTCTAGACCCAACCTAGCACAAGATGACCCCAGTCATAAGATGGCTAGAGAATTTAATTTAGCAATCCTCTGATTCCTTCTACCTTCCTTCGACAGCTGGGGACAAGAAACTTGCTGGATGGAAATAGGCCACAATCAAATGCAGGAGATTATTTTCCATCTTCAAGATGGGTAGATACACTGAAGGAACTGAGCATCTCATGCATTGGGTGGGTGGGGGGACATATACCTGTTCCTTAAGTGTGTTACATTGCAACAGAGCGATGGGTCTGTTGTAAGGAGCGTGGCGCTTGCCACCTAGCCCAGTTTTTATGGCTCCTGGAGCCCTCACAGATAGCATCATTAAAAATTTAGTTTGTGCTTTTTTAACAAGCAAAATATGAAGCAAAATACATGCTTTAGGCTTAACACACTGGTTTTACTTATTTAAAAAAGTCTCAAAAAAGTAGGAGAGACAGTTTGGCCCACCCCTTTAGTGATGTTATTGTCATATGTCCATCGCTCTCAGAGGCTGTTTTGAATGCACAACACTTCCAGGATCCTCAAAATGATCCATTTTGCACTCTACACAAAATGTTGTGAAATGTTGTGCTTGAAACATTTTGAAGCAAAGTAGTTTGCACACACCTGCATACAATATTTCATGATGAATTTATTTTTCAGGCTGCAGCTTGTGGGCCCAGTGAGGATTACCATATCAGTTGTGGGCTGCTAAGGTTGACGGAGAGTATCACACTAAAGTGTGCTAAATAACAGGCCTGTGTCCAGATTGCAGATGAAAATGTTAACATGAGTTGGTATTACTAAAGGCAGATTCAGACTCCCATTGTTATATTCACATTTTTTTTTACTCCAAACAAAAGAATGAGTTCTTGTGTTAAATGCTTAGGCTGCAGTTCTTGCACTGTTTAATCAAGGGGAGACTCCTTAAAGTCAACAGCCCTATTCTGAGCATGGAACTGCTTTGGATGCAAAATTACTGGAATGGGAAGGGGGGGGGTTGGGTGCACCAATCCAGCAGCTTGGAAGGAGGCAAAGGTCCATCTGGCCATCCTGAGCTGACCTTGCAGAGAGTTTGATTACGTTGGTCATGGGATGCCTCCAGATGGAACGATCATAGCAACACTAAATCAAAATACATTGTGCAGCTATTCCAGTTTTTTTTTTTTTAATGGAATAGTAAAAGATAAGCATGGAGAAAACATGGGAGGGTAACAAATGGAAAATGATGTCATGATCTCCTGTAAAAGGCCAAGTGACTGCACGATAAACAGCCTCATCCTGAAGCACCCAGGGGAGGGAACAGATGGCTTGCTGCCCAATCCCATAATCTTCTATGCACTGTTCTGGTCCTGCAGTTAAAGAGGCAAAGCTGAAGAAGACTCTTTGTAGGCAGGACTTCTAGAGTGCTGATTGCATCTTGGGCCTCTTGAACCCCTTCCTTGGAGATAAACAGAGTGCTGTTTCCTGTTTGGCCTGGTGAGGCTGTCCTGAGCACACTTCAAAGAGTGAGGATACCTGCTTGGTCTTTTACAAGTCCTTGCTGTGGAACACAGCCTCCTTCAAAGACCTTTCTTACTGCAGTAGCTCGTGCAAATACAGATAGTCCTCGCTTAACAACCACAATTGGAACCGGCAACTTGGTTTCTAAGCAATGCAGTTAAGCGAGACGTGACCGTGATGGACTTATGACCTCACTTCTGCCATCATAGTTAACCAAATCATCTGGGTTGTTATGCGAGACATCACATGACTGCGACTTGTGATTTTACTGCTGGCTTCTCTATTGACTCTGTTTGTCGGAAGCCATCTGTGAAGCGTGCAGATGGTGATCATGTGACTGTGGGATGCTGCAACAGTCATAAGTGCAAGGACCTGTCATAAAGTTACTTTTTCAGCACCATCGTAACTTCGAATGGTTGCTAAACAGGGCAGTCATTAAATGAGGACTACCTGTAATAATAATGCAAACAGATGTTTTGATAATTAGATTTACAGAACCAAATGTATAAATATTGCAAAAACTAAACATCCAGCATTTGTTATGTGTTAGGTAGGTCAGGGCAAGAACAGGGCTGTGGGGGTGGGAAATTCCAAATGCAATTACTAGGTAAATTTGGCAGTTTGTTTGAAACATGTCAGAGGATAAGCAAAAATGTGAGAGAAATGGATATGTAATTGGAAAATTCTCAGTGCAAATTTATTTAGGCCAATGTTTCTTAAACTTTTTTCTCTCAAGACCCCTTCCCACTTTTAAAAATTATGGAGGACCCTAAAACAGCTTTTGTTTGTATAGGTTATATTTATCGATATTTACTGTATTAAAAATTAAAGTGATGCATTTGCTGCTACGACCGCTTCTCATGGTTGTTTGATGGAATTTTAATATGGTATAGTTTTTCAATATAGACTGGCAAATAATTTTGATTTCACAGAACCCTGAGAGGCTCTTGGAGGACCCCAGGGGGTCCTCAGACCACACTTAAAGAAACACTGATCTATACAAATTATTGTCTGTAGTGTCAACCAAGAGGTATAGGAGAATACTTGAAGTTTTATAGAAAACACATAACTAAACTAGGAACGGGGGTGGGTGGGGTGTTATTAGCCAACTAACTCCAACTGATGACACAATCAGGAGTAAATTTCCACAACCCTATTTAAGGCCTTCTTTCTATTGTTCCATCAGTAACTCTCTTTTGAACATGAATTATCTGTTCACCCCAATAAATCACAAAAATCCCTATTCTTTGCTTGATTTCCTACCAGGAACTGAAGTGGTTGGTTTTTTCCTCACAGTGTTATTCTACAGTTGGAGTATTGTTCAGTATAGTTTGTATGGGTGAATGTTGCTATTGCTTATTTCATTCCAATTGTCA